GGACAATGTACAAACCTAATTAGTTTGGGGTAAAAATCTGTTCATATTAATTCCCTAATAAGCATAATAATTCATAATTTTTTGGTTCTGTTACATTGCGCAGACCTCATTAGTTTTACACTCAAATCTGGTCATATTAATTTTCTGATTTGCATAATTAGTTTTCAGCTAAGTAATTTCGAATTATATTTAATGTGTCTCCAATACTCTCAGCACATGGGAGTTCTTTCTAAGCTTTCTTTGATTTGTTTTTTTTATGCGGTATCTCTTTATGCGTGCTCTGTCAGTTTTCATTCAAATTTGGCACATACATGTACAAATGTACTTTATACATGTTAGGATGCATGTCCATGACGATTTGTTTCAAAATCTGGTCCAGGATGGCCGATTGACAACCATCTGACTTTTTGGCCTTACTGTGATATTTTCACAATTTATGTACCATTTTCATTCGTATTGGCACATACATCATACATATCGTTATTATCCGGTTTCACTTCATTTTAATTCTAGTGGACATAATATTACAGATATGTCTATTTCTGGTGTATGTGTTGTCAATGGCAACGAAAATCAGCTCAGGCGTGTCGAGGAGGAAACTATATTCCGCCTTGGAACTAAAGAACCCCATGGTATTAACAAACAATTCAACTCATTTGTTGAGCTCACTACCTAAGGCGCGTTATTTGTTCTATTGTGGAATTTTTTGTGATTCTAACTTATAGTTCATGCGCGTTCTTACGTTCCTATGTTCTACCTGTACGTTATCACACTTGCTTCTATGCTATCGATAAAGAGCCATTGCTCGAAACGTCTAGCTATTTTTAATAGTTATTTAGGACTACGATTACCAAATATTATCTTCAATATATCATACATATCAGTGTGTTTCATAATCAGATCAAACATGGCAGAATAACGGCTGTTTTTATTTTTGGCCATATTACTACTACACGGAACACGTGTTTTGATGTAAATAAACAATCTGTTGTATACGCCACTTGGAACTCAAGTTTCAAGGACACGCTCGCGACAATCCCTCTGCTTTAAATATGACGAGCACAAAAAGAACTTTCCAAAATTTAACGGGGACTGTGTCATTTTCAATGACTTGTTTTATATAAGATTAATATCATAAAGATAATAACATTGTCAAAACTCTAAGAATGGAAATTGTCCAACTGACTGTGAAGTGTATATACAGTAAGTTAGTACCATATACTGCTTCTCTATTATGCAAAATAAGATGAGAAGTAAAATTGTAGGTACTGTGGAATACTTTATTTTCGCTGGAATTAATTTTCGCTGAAAAGACTTTTTGGGCGTTTTGCTTGGAATTTATTTTCACTGATTTTTCATGAGTTTAATGTGAAATATAGGGAAAAAAGTATATTCACTGGATTTTATTTTCACGGAATCATCCCTTCAGCGAAAATAGCGAAAATAAATTCCAAGCGAAAATAGTGTATTCTACAGTAGATCTAAACTCGTGTCGATAAACTACACACTGAACATGGTGGATAATCATGTAGATAAGAGATAGAGAACTTTGAGCATCAATTCAACTGGCGACAACTCAACATGTAAAAATGCTCCAGTGATAAATTAACTAAAGCGAAAAAGCATCCAAAATAAAATTCTCCAGTAACTCTCCAAACATCATTGGCAGCATAAATGATACTGGGGCTGTGAGGATAGATGAAAAACTAAATGCAGTGAAATACTTGTTCCACTTTTAGTGAAAGCGTAAAATGATGACTGCCTTAAACCTCAAAAATTGAGACGAGATAAAAAAATGAGTTGAGCATTGAGAGGGTCACATTTCTTATTTCTATAATCTGCAGAATAATTTGCAAGGAGACACGATGCAACTTTAACTTTAGAACTACATGATCAATTTATTGACTGAAAAATGATTTTACCGGGACTTGGCTGCAGACTTGCAAAGGAAATGATCCCTATTGTTTAAAGACAAATATATATTCTACTTGGACAATTGATTGATAATGTTTATGCATTTATTTTTTGAAACAGGCTGAGAAAGAAGTTTTTGAATGTTTCCCAAAGAAGGTTGTTGAACTTGATGAGATGCTTAGAGTAAGTATTTTTAGCTCCGCTGTCGACTTTGTCGACACAGCAGAGCTGTTCATATTACTGATTGTCCGTCGTCGTCAACTTTACAATTTCAACTTCTTCTTCAAAACCACAAGTCAGAATTTTTTCAAATTTGATATGCAAGTACCTTGGATGGTTCTTTCTCAGATTTGTTCATTTCATGTCAAAATCTCAATTTCTCTAATTTTGATGAATATTTTTGTTATTTTTGGTAAAAAGTGATATTTTCAACTTCTTGTTGAAAATCGCAAGTCAGATTATTTTTATATTACATATATAGGTATTACATGTGGACCTCAGATTT